AGGGAAAATCCTTCGGCAATTCTAATCCACTTTGGCTTTTCAGCTATATATATATATATCTAAAGCAATAGCAGACTAGAACTGAATTCTTGTCTACACTGTAAAATAACAATTGCGCAATTACAGGAATTCTGGTGACGATATTAAAATGAAATAACCAAAACACAAATAGAAGGCCCCATTTTAACAACTGATGTGAGAAGAAATTTTAATAGAGAATCTTATAACTTCTTTCTGGAAATGTTTTCCCACCAAATAAGGGCTTTCCCCCCTATGATTTAAGGAGCCAGATGAATTAGAAGCCGTAGAAAGAGGCAGCTATAGAATTTGATCTTCAAGTACCCCATGTACCTTTATTGAACTTAATCATAATACTGTCAAATTGCCACGATCTCACTAAAGGATTTCTATCGCTGTCAGTTACAACCCCAAATGCATTTTTATTCTTTCTACTGGGTTCATTGTCTGTTTTCTTTATAAGTGCAGTACAATAAACAAATTATTTAATAACCTATATGTCTCCAGAGCATTTCTGTTCCTTTGTTGCCCAAGTTGATCTGACCCAAGCTTCAGAATGGAGGGAAGGATTGGTTGAGTATGCTTTTTGAACTTAAATATGCAGTGAAACTGGCTGGCTGGAACACAAGCCACCACTTTATGGCATTTGTAGCTTTGCTTCTGTCCTTTAAATTGGGGGTAGGTGAGAATAACAGCACATTTCTTAGGAAAGTTGTCATTCCCTGTATCTAGTAGTATTTTCCCAGAATATTTGTGGTGTGTCTTCTACCACTCCCCCCTCAGATTACAATCACAACACTGTAGATGCAAAATGCCAAAGATTTGTGAACTCTGCCTAAGGCACTGGCATGACAAACCCTCGTACACAGGCTTTCATAGATTTGTCTGATTCATTCCTTAGGATAAATTCTTCGAAATAGAATGGCTGGGCCAGAGAGTAAGCACATTTTCGTGGCTTGTAATAAATGTCAGGTAACTGATGTAGAGAACGGTTAGGGACTGTTTTTGCTGTGACCAGCAGTGCTTGAATGGGCCTGTTATAATCACGCTCGTTTTATTCCCAATAGCCAGTTTGATTGCCAAAAAACAAGAGCGTCTTGTTATAGTTTGCATATTGGATGACTAGTGAAGTCAGAAACTTGTTTCATGGGTTTTATTGGCCATTTGTATTTTCTGGTTATTTGCTACATTGCCCAGCTTTCTTTTCATGTGCTTCCCTATTTGTTTGATAAGGATTTGTTCTCTATTAAAGATAATGCATTTTTGTCATTTTTCCATCATATATTTTCCAGTTTTTAATTTGCCTTTCATTTTTATTTGTGGTGTTTTTTAGTGTTATTCAAAGAAAGTCTTTCCCTACCCCTGAGCTACATAAACTCTTCTAGTTAATTGCATCATACTTAAGACATATGTAGTGTGTACATACTGTGGTGTTGACCAGAAGAAAATGTAACACCTTTATAAAAACAACCAAGGGGCACCTGGGTGGCTCAGTTGGTTAAGTGTCTGCCTTCGGCTCAGGTCATGATCCCAGGGTTCTGGGATTGAGCCCCGCATTGGGCTCCCTGCTCAACTGGAAGCCCACTTCTCCCTCTCCCTCTGCCTGCTGCTCTCCCTGCTTGTGCTCTCTCCCACTCTTTCTCTGTCAAATACATAAAATTTTAAAAATCGCATGTACTCCAAAAATAAGGCCTAATGACACGAGAGGAGCTTGAATAGTCCTTTGTGTTTTGCCCACCAATTTGGTGCCTTTGGAGTTAGCAAGGCATTGGTAACTACTAGATCTCTTGCATAGTCTTCAGTATATGAAGATTAAATATATGAACTTTTATATATAATCTATGAGCCTTGGAGACCTCCTGAGGAGGAAGTTTGTTTTTATGTCACTAAAGTCTTGGGGGTTTTTTTGTTTAAGATTTTGTCAGAGCGAGTACAAGTAGGCAGAGCGGCAGGCGGAAGGAGAGGGAGAAGCAGGCTCCCTCCCGAGCAGAGAGCCTGATGCGGGGCTCGATCCCAGGACCCCAGGATCATGACCTGAGCCGATGGCAGACGCTTAACCGACTGAGCCACCCAGGCACCCCTGAAGTCTTGTTTTTAAAAGTTGGAATTTAGAAACGGCACGTATGATACACATTTGTCTTCAAGTCTCTGCACAGATACGAATCCACACAAAGTCCCTGTGACATCAGATATCCCAGTTAAAAAGCCAGAAGATTTGAGATCATTTTAAGTGTTTGGAAGTTTTAATTAAGCAAGTTTACATTAGTATGTAGTTGTGTTGCTGGCTGTACCATTCCTTATACGGGAGGAGGCTTTTTTATCACAATCTTTTGTCATTAATTCAGATCTAGTTTCTGCCCACCTTAACACAATAACAAGCCTTGCCCTGCATTTGACAGAACTGGACTGTTGTACAAGCGCACCAGCTGCCCGCAGCTGAGCTATGTCCTAGAAGTTGTGCACTTAAGACCGTGCACTGGTTGCTTTGGATTTTGTAAATGTAGAGCAAAGTACCATCGCTGTGGGAAATTAGTGGACCCTACTACAAATCTTGAAGTTAGATAACAAAAGTGGGATGAGTTTTGAGGGTTAGGGCCCTTGTTTGATCTTTAGGCAAAAGTACCCCAGTGATTCCCACCTGATACTAACACACTTGTATAATGCCCTCATCTTGAAGGTGGGCTGGACTTGCTGACTGTTCTAACAGATTAAGGCAGAAGTGATGGGTGTTACATCTGAGGTTGGGTTACAAAGGGCTGTGGCTGCTGTCGTCTGTGCCCCCTCTCGCTCTTCTGGGGACGCAAGCCACCGTGTGAGTTGCCTTGTGGGGAGGCCTGCAGCCCAACTGCCTGTGAGAAACTGCGTCCCGCAGACAACCACTGAGCTTGGAGGCAGATCAACACCTTAACTGCAGCCCTGTGAGAAACCTTGAGACAGAGGCACTTAACTACCCTCGCCAGATCCCTAACCTACAAAAACTAAAACGTTTTAAGCCACTGAGTTCCGTGGCAATGTGTTATGTATACAGCAATAGGTAACTAATAACAGGGATGTAAGACAATGAAAGCATTTAAAATATCCTTACCCTTCACCTCTCGGAAATGATTAATCCTCTCTTGACCATATCTGCTCAGGCCTAGTCATTGTTGGTAAAGTGTGGACATCACAACCATCCCAACAGCCCAGCCCAAGGCAGAGGCAAGCCAGAAGAAAGAAAGGAATAAGGCGACTTGGTTAAAGGAGTGCTGATTTTATTGATTTTCTATATACTTTCAAAGATGAGATTCCTGCCTTTAGGAATTTATGTAAAAGTAAAGCCACTTGAGCTGATAAACAGTTACTAGATAGCAACCAAAATCAATACTGTGATTGGAGAGGTTGAATTCTGAGTTTCTTTGAAGATAAAGCAAAAGGTCATCTGGGTCATCTGACTCAAACAGATTTGCAGATCCTTCCCCAGCACCAGGTCATTGGTAAACCCACTCCAAGCGCTTTGGTGAAACATGCTATCGCTGGCAAGAGCAAGGTGCAGGCTGTTGGCAGATGCACCCTAAGTCCCCCAAAAGCTTCTGTGGAACACCATAGTTACTATTTTAGCGAGAGATCTTTAGAAGGTAGGACTTTTAGGAAAGTTACTTCTTATAAAAAGTAAAATTATGAGAAGTAAACAATTACAACTAGAAAAGGCACTAAGCTACAGAATTTGTCAGATTCTGTCATTCATCAGATTTGCATAAAGTGCTTGACTGAAATAATTTTATCACAAGAAAATATGAATGTGATTATTAAGTCCCATTCTAATAATTCCTGTTACCAACAACAGGACAGTGTTGGGGTACTCATTCCTAATCCATCTGAACTGTACAAGAAACCACCCTCACTGGGCAGTTTGTCAAGGTATTGGTTAAAAAGCATGCTCTACAGGGGCACCTGGCTGGCTCAGTTGGTAGAGAATACGATTCTCACCTAGGTTGTGAGTTCAAGCCCCATGTTGGGGATAGAGTTTCCTCTAAAGAAAAAAAAAAAAAGCATCCCTTACAGCCCAGGAATGAGAAACCTACTGTTCACTGTGTCAGTGACTACTCCTTGATCAAGTAACAAGATCCAATACATTTTTTTGTGTTTTTTTATTTTATTATGTTAATCACCATACATTACATCATTAGTTTTTGATGTAGTGTTCCATGATTCATTGTTTGCATATAACACCCAGTGCTCTATTCAGTACATGCCCTCTTTAATACCCATCACCAGGCTAACCCATCCCCCCAACTCCCTCCCCTGTAGAACCCTCAGTTTGTTTCTCAGAGTCCATAGTCTCTCATGGTTCGTCTCCCCCTCCGATTTCCGCCCCCTTCATTTCTCCCTTCCTACTATCTTCTTTTTTTTTTTTTAACATATAGTGTATTATTTGTTTCAGAGGTACAGGTCTGTGATTCAACAGTCTTACACAATTCACAGCGCTCACCATAGCACACACCCTCCCCAATGTCTATCACCCAGCCACCCCATCCCTCCCACCCCCCACCACTCCAGTAACCCTCAGTTTGATCCAGTACAGTTTTGTTCAGCGTTTACCTCCTCTCCTCTCTACCAGCACCCACTTTTTCTCCTCACTGGGTGAATGCACAAGACCAGGAGAAAAACACCTGTTCATCAGGTTTATCCACTGCGGATGATCAACAAAACCTGGTTTCTATGCACCATCCCCAGACAGGAAGTAGCCTAAAGAACCTGTTTTTGTCTTGGCATTTGCTACAATGAGGTATCACGTAAACTGAGTTCCCCTCTGGAGGCTGGCAGAAGATGCACCATTTAGAGTGCCAAATCGGGAGTATTTTTTTTTTTTTCTACAAGAAATGTAATCTAAAAATTACTTGGACACAAGTAAATTTCTCAAGCCAGTGGCCAGTTCTGATTGGGTCAATGTAGGTACTAAGGGAATGTAATGTTGGGGTCCAAAGAAGAGAGAGCCAGTTTAGTCTCCTGAGTTTTTAGATCTTGTATTCACCCAATCTTTATAGGACTTCCTGAAGGATTCAGGTTCTGGTGGCCCCTCCATTCCTTACCCACCCCGATCATCAATAAGACAACAAAATGTGAGAAAGGAGAAACAAAGATCCCCAAACCTCCACTGAAATGGTCTAGCACGCTTACAACCCCTTCCTCAGCTGCCCCTTTAGAGCTGGGTGGCAGTTTCTAGTGCGCCTTCAGACAAATGTATCCTCAGGCAGGCAGGCTGCGGGAGACTCAGACCTGGGAGGTCCCAGACGTGGACTCACTAGCCCTCTCATTTTACAGAGAGGCTTCGAGAGGGTAAAGTGATCGCTGGTGTAAAGGGGCTACAAAGAGACCTGGGGCCCCATCAGGAGAGTACCACCCGTGTCTCTCTGAATATCTCTGATGTGGGTCACTGCAGTTCTGCTTCCCCTGAAAGTCTTCTGTATACAGTAGGAGGCCTTGTCTCAACGTCAGGTTCTAATCCTATAGTGAAAGGCTTCAGAACATCACATCTACAGTAGTCAGGGACAGAGAAGCATGGAAGGAACAAGTTTTTATCTTTGAAGAATTCGATTTCTTAATTTTCCGTTGTCAGGGAAACAGTCGACCTGTGGTATTAAAAAAAAATTGCAAGAGTATAAAATCTGACATTTAAAAAAAGCCAATCAAACAAAAAAAACTTCCCCATGTATGCCTCCATACGCTCTAACAGTTTGCTACTCAAAGTGCGACCATTATGAGAAGCAGGTTAGAAACACACGGTGTTTCCCCCCACTCCAACTGAATCAAAATCTGCATTTTAACAAGATTCTCAGGTGGATTGTGTGCATATTTGAGTTTGAGAATCATCTAATAAGTATGGGGAGGCAATGCTAATTTATAATTATTCAGAAAAGTGTATCTATGTGGTCAAAGATCGGATTAATTTTTACTTTGCAAAAATTAAAATAGTTGAAATGGAGATAATCCCTCCTCTCCACACAAAGTGCCTGGCCTGCTGGAGGTCCTCAATAAAAGGCAGCATTTTTTTTTTCATGTATTCCTTATTATTCTTGTCAAATCACATTTTGGAACTTAAAAGACAATAAGGAAATTGATATGTTATGCTTCCTTTTCAACCAGACATTAAAAGAGGTTACATCATATTTTTCTTTTTGCCTTGGCTATCAGGAAGCATAAAGCTAAATTTAATACTCAATACAGTATTACTAATAGCCTAGCTTTCTGGAATATTTGTTTTCCTCTCCGTGACTTTTATTTTTTTATTTTATTAAGTTCTCTGTTATGTTTCTTACAAATCACTTAAAATCTTTCTGAAAATAAAGGCCCAAATTAGAATGCCAACTCGTAAACAGTCTGTTCTTGTTTGCCAGGCTCCAGAAAAAGATGGGTTTATGAAACCACCTGCCTGTTTTAAATTATTTCTTCCTGTTTTTTTTTTCTACTTCTCAAGACAGAAATAGAACTAGAGGGTCTCAGATGCCAGCTAGCTCCTGCCAGGGTCCTTGCTCCTCTTCCCAGGCCCCACCACAGCCCCTACAGCCCACCCCCCCACCAGCCACCAGCCCGATGAATCAGTAAGGAAACAGGGAGGCCACAGCCCTTCCAGAGGCATGCAGACCACCCAACAGTGCAATTACTCACCGAACTTCAGCTGCTTCAGACTTCCTCTGCAAGGAGAAAGAGAACACTATTTGTTTACAACCCAGCCTTGTTTTCAGGGTAACTCCCTGCACACTACTCCCTCTTCAAACTAGATCAAATTTCTCTTATTCACTGTCAAGAGGGTTTTTTTTTTTTCCATAATGTTTATCAGCCTGTAATTCCATATCGCATGTGGCGTCCCTTATCAGGTGGTAAGGCCCAATGAGACTTCTTCCCTCACTGCTGTACCCCCCGTGCCATGTCCCTTGCACTGCTCTACCCCCCTGGGTCGGTGGGCACGTGGAGCACAGGAGCTGTTACTGGGTGGGCAGGTGGATGATGTCAAAAGTTGGAGATCCTGGGAGGACAAAACGGGGAGAGAACTAAGAGTTATTAATCACCTGTATAACATGCAGACACTGTTAGTGCCTTATACACACTATCTAATCATTCATACTATCTTTTATTTTTTTATTGAGGTATAATTCACTAACAAAATTTACGCATTTAAAGTGTACAGCTTGGTGGGTTGTCAGTATAATCACTGGGTTGTGCAACCACCACTGTTATCCAATTCTAGAACATTTCCATCACCCCAAAAAGAAACCCTATGCCCATTATCAATCACTCTCAATTTCCCCCTCTTTACAGCCCCAGGCAACTGCTAAAATCTACATTCTGTCTCTATGGATTTGCCTATCCTGAACATTTTATATAATTGGGATCGTACAACATATGGTCTTTTGTGCATGGCTCCTTTCACTTACAACATCTTCAAGGTTCATCCACATGGTAGCAATTACCAGTACTTCATTCCTTTTTAGAGCTGAATCATATTCCTCAATATGGATATACACATATCATCTATCCAAGTCATCAGTTGATTCACATTTGGGTTGTTTCCACTTTTTTGGCTATTATGCTGCTATGAACATTTGTATACAAGTTGTTGTGCAAACATGTTTTCAGTTTTCTTACATACATACCTAGGAATAAATTGCTGAGCCACATGGTAACTGTATGTTTAACCATTTGAGGAACTGCCCTTCTGTTTTCCACAGCAACTGCATAATTTTGCATTTTCACTAGCAGCGTATGAGAGTTCCAATTTTTCCACGTGCTCACCAACACCTGTTACTGTTCATCATTTTTTTTTATCCCAGTGGCTGTGAAATAATAGCTCATTGTGGTTTTGATTTGCATTTTCCTAATCACTAATGATGCTGACTACCTTTTCATGTGCTTATTGACCATTTGGATGTCTTCCTTGGAGAAATGTCTATTCAAATCCTTTGCCCAGGGGCGCCTGGGTGGCTCAGTCGGTTAAGCGTCTGCCTTCGGCTCAGGTCGTGATCCGGAGGTCCTGGGATCAAGCCCCGCATCGGGCTCCCTGCTCAGC